AAAAAAGACTAACTTCACTAACTTTTTTTTTTTTTTTTTTGGTGGAACTAAGAACTGAACTCAGGCCCTTGTGCCTGCCAGGGAAGCACTTATTCTACTGAGTCATCTCCCTGGCCCCTTCACTATTTTGGGAAAAAATTAAAACCACTGACCCCCAGTGGCTTCTCAGCTACACTGTTTTGTCACTGCCTGTGTCATGGCGGTGGCAGCAAAGGGGCCCCCACCCAGCCCCACCAGTGTGACCTCCAACCCTTCCCTCTCCCTGTGGCCCTGGGGTCCTCACCTGGGTCCACCACCAGCACCCGGGCCCCTGAGCTGAGCAGAGCGTGTGCCAGGGGCGCCCCACGGCTGTTTGGATTGATCCAGGCCACAGGACAGCCCAGCTTGGCCAGCCCAAGCCACAGACTCAGAGCAGAAATGGCCTTCGAGGCTCCCACCAGGAGAGCAGCAGGCTCCTCAGGACGCAGGGCCTCTGAGCCACCCAGCTCAGCCTTCAGGGCCCATGCCACTTGGCAGGCCCGGGCCTCTAGCTCTCCAGCAGTGACTGTACAGGCTCCAGGCCCAGTCCACACCAAGCACACCTGGCCAGGCTGTGCTCGTGCCCTTCGCTCGAAGGCTTCCACAAAGGTGTCAGGGGGCTGTCGTGCCAGGCGTGCTCTGATCCTCAGCCCCAAATGAAGGATCTTGACTAAGTAGGCCACATCTGCAGGCAGCCAGCGCAGCCCTGGGGGCGGCCGTGTGGGAACCAGGATCACAGTGAGGACTGCAGCCACCAAGCCCAGCAAGGAAGGCTGCCAGGGGCTGATCCAGGGCCAGACCAGTGCCACCAGGCCCAGCAGCAGGAAGCACAGGGGGTCTCCGAGGGTCCAGCGCAGGGCAACTGCCACAGGAGCCAGCCACAGAGGGTTCCCTAGGGCCCCCCCCAGGAGCAGCAACATCAGAAGCATCAGCTGCTTCCAGACACCCATGGCACTACCCAGCTCGTCGGAGAGGAGGCTGTGGAATTCAGTCTCACCTCTGATCCTGAGCCCCACAGGTGGCGGGTGCACTCTACCCGCCGCAGGCCTGGCACTGACATTAGTAGCTGCCCCCTGACCCCTGGACTCTGCCCTTGACTCTCTTGGCTCCTGCAGTTCCAGGCGCTATGCCCATCCACTGGCTCTGCCTCCCTGCTCTGCCACTCATCTCTGGGCCTGTTTCCGCCCCCAGGTGGACCCATCACCAGCTTTGTTACCCTGCGTGTCTAGGCCTCCAGGCTGACACCTGCCTCCCTTCCATGCAGCTCTGTGCTACAAACTCCTGTCACTGAAACAGCAAAAGCACCAAGAGGCCTGCCAGCATCAGTGCCGGAGGCCGCTCTGCTCCCCTGCTGGAGCGCCAGGGGGCAGCGCCTCTGAACTGGTGATGCCACGCGCACAGCAGCTCACCAGAGAACACTGGAGTGCTCACGCCTGCACTCACACCTGCCTGCCTACCTGGTGTGACAGAGACTGAACCTCGGAGTGCAGGGGCTGAGAGGCGAATGGCCAGACTAGGAGCATTGAGAGCGGCTATGGGCTGGAGCCCGGGCTGCGGGGAGCGAGGAGGGCGACCCGGTGTGATCAGGGTGCCCATGGAGGCTGCACTCAGACTTCTGCCCGAGCCTTGGATTTGCTAGTGCAGCAGCACAGGTCCTGTAGCCCACACGTGCGGTGCCTATGCAGACTAGCAGTCTGTGCTTACTTCGTGGCAACCTGAGAGCTTTGTCTGCTACAGATGAAAGTATAATTTCTCCATGTTGCTCCCCAACCCCCCACAAAGGGCATGTCAGACATCCTCATGGCCCTGCATCTTTGCTTCGAGCTGTTCAAGTCTCAGATGACCATTACTGGGGGGCGAACAATTGGTGCAGCCCCAGCCAGGCATGGAACCCTCTGCTCCCCATGGGACTGAAGAGTGGCGAGCCGCCAGGTCATGCGCTCAGTGGCTGGCCTCCTCTGGACACAGCCCCTCCCCAGGCATGGTGGAGACTGCTGGAACACCCATTTCAGCGGAGAATGCCTGGCATGCCACGGGAGAAAGAGTGTGCATACCTTGGTGAAGAGTGCCCATACCTTACTGTTCTTCAGGCTAAGATAGAAGCTCATGAATATGAGACACCTATGTCATTGAGTTAGAAGATGAGCTAATAGGCTGAGGAGATAGCTCAGCAACATAAGCACCTGCCTGGCAAGCACAAGGTCCCCAGTTCGATTCCCAGTACCAGAAAAAAAAAAAAAAAAAACTATTAAAGAAGATGAGCTAACAGCGTCTTATACAAGCTGCCAGGAGTGCGGGCTGGTGAGATACGGAGCTCACGGGCACAGAGGATCCAGCAGCTACAGACACCAGCCAGCTCCAAGCAGGAAGGCCATCAAGGGTGAGCATGGCACGCAGCAGCAGCGCATGTTCCCAACCGAGTACAGTGGCTCCTCCCAAATGATGTGTTCTGCCACGTGTGGTGGTGCAAACCTGTACTCCCAGCACTGGGGAGGCTGAGGCAGGAGGATTGTTGAGTGCTGGAGACCAGGGAGATAGCTTAGTAGAATAAGTGCTTGCCTGGCAAGTGCAAGGGCCTGAGTTCAATCCCTGCTTCTGCCAAAAAAAAAAAGAAAATCCCCAGTACTGCATGGCATGCTGGCGCCGGCCATTCGGGCCACAGAAACCAGGCATGGTGGTACACGCCTGTAATCCCAGCAGTGGGGAGGATGAGACAGGAGGATTAGTACAAGTCTGAGCTGCATAGCAAGACCCTGTACCAAATAATTAATTGATTAATTAATTTAAAAAGAGACAGACACTCCAAGATGCAAAGCAAAACTGACCTTTCACAGGTCCTGCGGGAGCTGGTTATGTGACAGGCAACACTTAGCCTTAGCACCCAAGGGCCTAACGATAAACAGTTCACACAGGCAAGGGGTATGTGGGCCTCCAGGAAGCTCCCCTCTTCCTCAGGTCACTCATAACCAGCTTGGACCTTTTTGGCACATTTGTTGGTGAAGTGACTCTGATGGTGACCAGCACAGGGAGGTGAAGCCTAGGAAGCAGGGCCATAATGTCCTTGTCATGGGCATCAAAGAGAAGGGAGCAGGTGTTCAGGAAAGGCTTCAAAGGTAAGTGGGTAGTCCTGTCGCAAGAGCCAGCCAGACCAATATCTACAGAAAGCCAACTATCTTGGCCAGCCAGATAGCTCAGCAGACGAAAGTACCTGTTTAGGCAGAACTCAGAGATCAAGGTTCAATCCCCAGCTTGCCGTGCCCACCCCACTCCTGGGGCATGCTGAGCTGGTGCTTGAGACTGGGTGTGGTGGCACACGCCTGAAATCCCAGCACTTGGGAGGCTGAAAACAGGAAGATCAATAAGAGTCTGATCTACATAGTGAGACTCTGTAGGCCGTCCATGTACTGAATACATAAAAATAAACAAATAAGGGGGCCGGGGAGATAGCTCAGTAGAATAAGCACTCCCCTGGCAAGCGCAAGGGTCTGAGTTCAATCCTCAGTTCTGCAAAAAAATAAATACATACATTAAAAAAAGAGAGAGCCAAATACCTGCTGTTGTAGTTATAGAGCCAGTTCTGGGCGGATCAAAGATCGGCCCTGCAGCCATGGCTCAGGCCATTAAGTTGGAAGAGCATGTCTCTTCTGGTTCTCTTGTTTCTCTGCCAAGGTCAAGGTGCTCTTCTGAGGGAGACCAATGGGGATCAGAGGCCTCGTGTGGATCCAGAAACCCTCTGGTCCCCAACCAATATCCAATGGACTCTAGCAGACACTGGGGCTAAGCAGTGCTGTTGTTTGGGAACCTGGGACCCTGCATTGTATATAAATTTTTTTTTTTTTTTTTTTTTTTACAGAACTAGGGATTGAACTCAGGCCCTTGTGCTTGCCAGACTCCCTGGCCCAAGGTGGCTGTGCATTTGGAAATAGACTATCTGGACCCTAAGGGATATAAGGGGCATGGGTCTCCCCAGCACAGGAGCACGGATTGGGAGTTGATATACTCCATGGACTATGGCTCCAGCCTCTATGGGGGAACTCTGCTGCAAGTGTACCAATGAAGGCAGTGGTACAAGACCATTCGAAGCTTTGCCAGTGCCCTGAAGCTCGCAGCGGTAAAGCAGTACTGCCACCAGCCAGGTGGACGTACCAGCAGGACCACTGAAGAAAGGAGGAGTTATCTGGCCAGTGCAATCCCTATAATTTGCCTGTGTGTAGTTGGCTAAAAACCCTGATGGCTCCTGTAGGATGACAGTGGGCTAAGTAAGGTCACTCCCCCACTGCATGCTGCTGCGCCCTCTGGCGGCCCGTCAGGTCTTAGTCAGGGGCTGGTATTTTTCACTTGGTAGCAGATACTTGCTTTTCCAATGACACAGCCCCTGAGAGTCAGGACCAGTTTGCTTTTATGTGGGTGGCTGTCAGCGGACCTTCCCTGGGCACCCACAGGAACATCTAGTGTCGCATTTGGATCAGTGGCCAAAGCCACTGTCTGCAAATGTGCTTTATATTGATGATATCCTGCTTGCTTCTCTCTTGTAGACCTTGAGGCAGCTGTGGCAGTGCTCCAAACAAATCTCAAAATATGTGGTTGGATGGTCAAGAGCAGGCTGTAAAGGACTACTTGGCAAATTCTTGGGAGCTGTCTGGCTCAACAGGTCACCAAGGGTGCAGTCAGAGAAGAGCAAGGCCTGCTGGGTGTGGTATCAGGGGGCTGAGGCATGAGGATAATCTAAACTACATACTGAGACACTCAAAGAACCAAAAGAAAAAGAAAAAAAAAGATCAAAGCCTGTCTGTCTCCTACCATAGTATAGTAAAGCAGTTCAAACCTTAGGGTTGCTGGGCTATGGGACAGCTTTGGTGAAACGTCTGCCCTAGGAATTATACTTTCCACATGGGCTAGCAAAGGAAAGTAGGCCCTGGGCTGCTCCTGAGTGGGACTTTGAGTGCAAAAAATTACCATAAAGACAGCTCAAGCTTCATGTCTTTGACCAAGCCTGGGCCACGTGAGGGGACGTCCATGTGACCATGACACATTTGGGTGCTACAGCAACAGCTGGTAAGCAGAAAAGGGCTGAGTGGATACTCGCTAAGAAAGACCAGATTATGCTGCTCTGAAAACCACTGAAAGCATTACTAAGGCAGCTCCTGTGGCCATCAGAACCTCCCACTCTAGAGTTCTTTTTATGCTGCTGGCAACAATCCTCAGGTGGGCCCTTCAACCCAGAACTGCTGATTCAGTTCAGCTGGGTGTTACAAGTTGACCATCAATTCACCATAGCTGTGTGTGCCAGGTATTGTCTCAGCCAAGGGAAAGTGATTAACACAGCTATTGTGGACACTTGGTAAACGTCACTGGAAGAGACTTGTCATTTGTTAGAAGGAGGATGCTGTGTTCATGTTATAGAAATACTACATTAACCTGCCTGAGGAAAGTTGTTAATAGACCTGT